CCTGCCCGTTCAGTCCGACGTGCTGATCTCGAAGATCGCAAAGCTGGTGAAAACCAGTATTTCCAAGGGGTTCAAATCAAATTTCGAGTACATCAATTTCCGCCAAAGTTGGAGACGCAGAGTCGTTACAGGAGTCTCAGCTCGCTCATGCGCAACTCCGTTCCCTTCCTTATTTTGTTCAAAAGTTGTATGGTATCTGCTTCACTAGGACTACCAAGTGTAGAAAAATGTCGTTTTCTGAAAATGCTTGTAGATTACAGTACACCATGTAGTGCGCGGCGCTCGGGTAGAAATTACTTACTTAGATACGATGGCCCGGCTTTGCGTGACCTGCGGGCCCCAGCACAAAAATTTCCATTTCTCACTGTCCCTCGCTTCAGAGATCCATGATCTTCTTGGCTGACGTCGGTGACTGCGTCCACGAGTTCCAGGTGCAAAAATCATATCCAGCTGATTTCTCAGCTGGTCCGTTCGTTCCACGAACATGTCTGCCCATCTCATTGGAGGTCATCCCCGAAGACGTTTCGCTTCGCGAAGAATCCACTCCGAAGTTCTTAGTGTTCATCTGTCGTCTGTTCGTCTCATAATGTCGTCCCATCGATGCTTCGCTTTCGCAACGTAATCCGCTGAGTCACGAACAGGGACAATCTTCTCATATCCGTACTGCGAAGTCCGATAAGTGTTGTTTGTGTCGGGTCATCTTCAGAGTACTGCGCTCTCGCGCTCTGTGGGTGGCCCTTAAAGCTTTCGACGTGGCTATGGTGTCAGCCAAAGTCTCAGCTGCGTAACAGAGTGCCAGTAGAACGGTTGAGTCGAACAGGTAGGCACGAAGCTTGGGGTCCGTCAGTTGGTCGGTGTCTTCCTTCAGAAGTCTTCAGAAGGTCCGAAGGCAGCACAGGCTGCTCTTCTTCTCCTGTTAAGTTCTTCCCTCAAGTCGTTCTCCATGTTCATCGAATGTCCGAGATACACGTAAGAGGTCGTCTCCATGAAAGGGGTGCCTTCCAATTCCATTTCTGCATCTTCGCAAAGGGCGTTCCTCATGAACTGAGTTTTCTTCCGATTTATTCGCATTCCGATCTTCTTCCCTACTTCGTTCAGTTCCTTCAGCATCGTCTCTGCTTCGGTGATACTGCTTGAGAAGAGAACGATGTCGTCCGCAAAACGAAAGTTGGACAGGAATCTCCCATCAGGACCCGGCACGCGTTGGTTTGAAGCGTTTCTGGAAACGAAGTCCCTCATGACTTCGCGAAAAATTACGAAGTCCCTCTTGACGTAAAAATCAGCGGGAAAATCCTTAATTAGTCAAAATAACATTAAAAAAGCGAAAAAAAGCGCATTTTGAGGTAACTAATACAACAAAAAAAGCAAAAAGAAAACATTTCGAATTGATTAAAGGCTCTGTCATTGGGTAGTGTACCATTTTAGCGCTCAGAATGTCGAGAACCTCCTAGGCCAACCAAATCTGTGGCTTCAACAATTTGGCAGTGCATTTTTCGCCACATAGTTCGAAAAGGACATCGCGTGTGATTGGAGCGCAATATCTATCAACGCGTATAGATTTGCACTACTTTTGGCTCAAAAAAAAAAGAGGAGAGGCAATAGTTTGATTCGCTCTCTTCACTATATAATAGATTTTTGAGCGTTTTAATCGTCCAAATCAAAAAGGTCCAAAACTTATGTGAACTCTCCGAAATTTATGCTCCGAACCAACCCAGTTGGTTCGGTGGTTGGTTTAGAAACCAACAAATCCGGAACGGGTATTCAGACACATAAGTTTTGGGAACTTTTTACATAGCATAGTTTGGAGTAATATTGTATACTCATAGCCCAAATTCGGAGCCATGTGATTGTTTGTGCGCTGTAAACAAGCCATTTGTTTGTTTGAGTCTTGCATTTGAAATTCGCGTGCTTGCGAAAGAACACGCTCAACTCGTGAAACCTGACATGTTCGTCGTGTTTTTTTGGCGCTTCCTCCAGGACCTCATAAAAACGATGTCCCCGTTGCTTCTAACTCCAAAAACGAAGTCCAGTTTGACCCCAAATCATCGGTGCCGGGCCCTGTCTCCCATCAACTCGTATGCCTCTCTCGTCCCAGTCCAGTGACTTCATCACCCACTGCAAAGCCTCGGTGAACAGCTTTGGCGATGTCGTCCCCTTTCCAATCTTAATGGTCAGGGGGCGATCATATAGGTGCATCGTCGTTGTACGCTCCTTGTAGCAGCCGGCTAACGTCCTCACGTAAGCTGGGTCCTTTCCTTGGACTAGCACTGACAAAATGGCGTTGTGGAGAAATGGAATTCTTCTGTCTCTTCAGTAAGCCTTGTCAAACTTGAACTGCCACGCGGGACTGTAATGTAGTGTTTGAAGTCGAAGCTCCAAATACGTTTATTCCCAATCTCCAGATATGTACAGATATATTCAGATTCACTCACACGCCGTACGGTCGGGAGTGCAAAACTTGAGAATATGCCGAACTTGATGATCTTCCAGCGAACTTGAGAATAAGCAGGACCTGATGGACGTCCAGCGAACTTGCACTCGAACTTGAAGGGATGGGCAAACTTGAGTTGGAAGCATGCTTATACGGCGATATGGGCTCTTTTTATACATCCACAAATCTGATTAAACTAAGATCTCAAAATATCTTTCAAGGGAAAGTAAATATAAGTGAGCTGATAAGCGTTACGAAACAAAACCGTACAATTCGAGGTGATTCATCAAACAAATATGACATGGTCAAAAGGATATTGTATATACTATTTGCAATAATTATCACTTGGTCGTCGATGCCGTCGACAGGCACTGATTTTGACGTTGTCAGAGGCTTTCTTGTAGTCGACGAAGGTTAAGACTAGAGGCAGTCGGTACTCCCGGCAGACTTCTATGACCCTCGAAACCGTCTGGATGTGGTCCATGCAGCTAAATCCATTGCGAAATCCAGTTGTTGTTGGGGTTGGGCTTCATCTAGTGTCCTAGATATGCGAGTGAGGATAATCTTTGTGAAAATTTTGTACAACACACTCAACAGGCATATTGGACGGTAGTTCTGAAGATCCTCCCGTTCACCCTTCTTGAAAAGAAGGAGAGTTCTTGATGTTCTCCACTGGTCGGGAATCCTTTCCTTCAGAAGGTAAGATATTGGGTGCGACGCGAGAATCTCATGTAGACGTCGTCCTCCGGCTCGCAGAAGTTTGATGGAAAGATGCTCTAGCCCAGGATTCAGCAGGTAGAATCCTTGGTGGTTCTTCTCCAGCGGAGAAATCGGGCATCGGCACGGGTTTTGATGAGCGGAAGAGGTAGGTGTAGAAGCCCTTTGCGATAGATTCCATCTTGTATCGGGAAAAAGTCGGAGTTTTGTCTTCGTTCAATACTGCAGCCAGCGGTACATGATATTCGCAGAGGTCCCTTCGGCTTCTTGAGACTTCTCTTCCTTTGGCTGCTTCCAGTATCTTGGCTTGCATGTACTTCCTGAGATCCTCCTGCAAAGCTGTTCTGCAACTGGCGTTGGGTATCAGTCGCTCGAGATGGATTGCATTCGGATCCTGCCACAGAATTCTTCTTCTTTCGAGCAATTCCTTGGTGGTCTTCGAAATGCGTTCCAAGTTCTTTCCAGAAGTCACTGAGGCACGCTCTCCGCAGGCTCGCAATCCTTTCAGAAGCCGGTCGTAGTCGTACCTTGGGCCTCCTCGATGGGCCAGTCACATCTTGATAAGAGCTCCTCCAGCCTGTTACCGCCATAAACGACATTCTTCCTTCTTGCGGCATTATGGCAGACCTTTTCCAGCTTTCGACTGAATCGTACCTTTGCTCGAAGAAGGCGTTGATCGGAGCCACTGCAGAAGGATGGAACTACTGAGACATCGAGCAAGCTCCACCTTCGTTGGTGAGAACGTGGTCGATCGCCGCGTGAGTCGTTCCGTTGGGCGATTCCCATGCCCACCGGCGATGTTCTTTTTTCACGAAGATGGAATTTCCATGGAAGTCGTGCGGTGGAGAAGAGCCCAACAAGACGGTTTCCGTTTTCGTTCCGGAGCCCATATCCAAACTTCGCGATCCTATATTCCTTTTCAGCGGCATTCCGATTTTCGCGTTGAAGTCGCCCACAACAAACTTTTAAAAGGACTTCTCGTTGCGGACGACCTCCTCCACATCCTCATAGAAAGCATCTAGTTCTGATTCGTCAGCTGCTGATGTTGACGAATAGCAGTTGATGATGCTGATGGTCTTCTGACGTGGAGGTCGTAGGATGGCTAGTCGAGTTGATAAAATCTCATGCGAATCGAGAAGATGGACGATAGATGGGTGGACGACAAAGCCAACGCCTTCAACGTTTCGTGATGGAACCTTCTCACCACGAATGATGAGTGTCCCATCACTCATCTGTCGCACGTCCTTCGTGATACTTAATGTGCTCTGCAGCGTCGAGAAGAGCGTAGAGGTCGGCATTTGTGGAGACTATCCTGGCGTTGTAGGTGCAGAGCATGAGGCAGTCTCCATGGCGTGTCGTTCGGGCAGACGTGTCATATTTGTCCACAAGGCGCCCTAAGGACCCTGACATCAGTCTTGTTACCACCGGGCGCCGTAGGCGGGATCCAATGTGCAGGGTTTCTTTCTATATCTTCTTGCTGTCTGAGTAATAAGATCTGTTCCCCTAGAAGAGCAGGCTTACTAGGCCTACTCATGATTTCCACGGGGCGATCGCTGACCCCGGGCTTGGAGAGGGGAGAACCGCCTAGCGACCAGAAAACCAGACGGCGATGGATCTGGCCTAGATGGCTCTTAGCTAGGCATCCGGCCGAAACCGAAAATGTCGAACTTCTTCACAGCATGGGAGGCCCTGTCAGAGTATACAGACGGCTGTGCATAGCAGTTCGATAACCACGCCATGTTGAGGCGTCCGACCATTGTGGGGGAAAATATTTTTAATCCCTCGAATACTGATATGAATACGTTACTAATTGGGACCGGTAACACAATAGTACTCAAAAATGCAGTTATAGACTGTCTCAACGAAATTCAAAAAGTCGAGCAAGAAGAAGGAGTATGCAAAGATCTCAGAAAAAGAATTAAAAAGTGTGAGTGCCTCTGGTTCTTTAACCCTTGCGTATTTGTGAGCCATGGTCGTTCTTATAAAAGTCATAATATCATGTGCAGGAATCGGAAAAAATCGTGAAAAGTGAGAAAACTCAAGAAAACGAAGACGAAGAACATTTACAGTTGATGGTTCGTGGGAGACCCTTATGAATTTTACCACACTTTTTTTGCAGAGAAAATTCCTTGCTCAAAATGACATGTCACAGCCAGAAAAGCCGTTCACTGTCCAAGTAATCAAAATGATTTCTGTTATAGCCTTCAGGCACTTGAAATCTTGATATGTATTCAAGGACTTGCCGCTTTGGATTGCGCTTATGGATAATACCGACGATGACAAGCCAACAAGTGAATTGAGACTGAAGATGGTATGGTCCTTGATTGAAAAGGCTCGAAAATCCTTGTGTTGCCGTATTTCAGGCCGATTGGTTGCTTAGACGTGGTGGCATGGACCAACTTCCCAAGGGCATTTCACCCGTTCCGCTGAGATCAGCATCGTCTACAACCGTAAGTGCTTACATTCACGTTTCGCCAGATTTATACGTTCTGTCTCAATTGTAGGATTACAACTTGACAGGGCACAATCGCTACGCAAGTGCCTTGTGCGGCAATCGTGGGCGTCTTCAAAGGCATCTTCTTCTAAATCTGAGCTTGGTGAGATTTTGATGTAGTGCAATAGCATGGCTTCTAACTAAACGATTACTCAAGTCCAGCTTCAAAAGACGTATTGCTATGCGAGAGTATTGTTCTAAAAGGTGAATTCTGCTGAGGACGCCACTCCCATCAATGAGGGTGGTCTGAGGTATTGATCCTAAAACATTCCCAGTAGTATCAAGAAACGTAGTAAATCTTTTTTCACAATAAATGTGAGAATTTCAATAATGCTAGGCACCATTGAATCTATTTTCAATATAACTTTTAAGACACCCACATTGATGGGGAGTGGCGACCAGGGCTCGGTATGAAGTTGATTTTCTAATTTCTCAAAAACGAAGTCCCTGTAGACTTAACCACAAAAATACGACATCACCTATGACGCGATCGTAAATGCATCAAAAGGAACGGAAAAATAATGGAATAAAACATAAAACCAACATCGAACAGACGAAAAAAACCGAAAATGTTCGTATTCGTCGAATTGGCGGCATGTGTGTCCGGCGCGCACCCTTGCGCGCTTAAAACAGGCTTGCCGCCGCCATACAAAATATTTGGAGGGCTGTAACTAGGCGAGGAAGAGGGAGTTTAGGGAGATTCAAAAACTTAGGGCCGTATGCACTAACATCCCTGCGGCGAGGGGAGCGGCATCCCCCATTATGAAGGGGTCGCGTGCGGACGCCGCTACGACTTTTACATCATTGGGGACGTCGCTCCCCTCGCCGCAGGGATGTTAGTGCATTCGGGCCTTAGTTGTAGGGTTTTTGATGTACAACAAGGTTACGTTAAACATGTGAGGAAATTATGTGAAGGAAGGGAAATATATGACTTTTTTTTACAGCCACTTAAGGTGGCTGTTCAGGTGGCTGGAAAGTCACCTAACTCCGAAAAAATTTTGCCACGCCTTCAGTTCACATAAACTTTTCATAATTTTTCGCGCATAGTCCTAACTCCCTATTGCTTGCTCATTTACACACCAATTTCGGTGTCACTTCATTTTCTCTTTGCTGTGAACAAGTCTTTTGTTAATTTCGGGACAGGTTTGAATTCGCGCGCTTAACCGGCGAACATGTTGAAACAGGAAATTTTTGGTTTTCGCAGATCGATAAGGCGGAAATGACAATTTGCGTCTTCTATAGAAGATGGGTGACATAAAGGCAGAAGGCGACTGTGTGTATGGGTGGGGGGGGGGGAGGAACGGCGGAGGGTGGGTTCCGCTTAAACGATATGCCCCGTGCTTTTAATTCCAAAACGAGATCCAGCTTGCCTCGTAAGCCATCTGTGCCGAGCCCTGGTGGCGACCCCAACAGCATCCACTTCCGGGAGCGATTCTCTCGCTCCGAATTACATCTTTTGCAGCGGAACGTGGGCAATCATCCAGCGAGCCTCACCAGCACTGCATCAAAATCTCACTAACCTCAGATACGAGTGGATGGTGCCTTTAACCAGTGATGTGGATGCGTAGCTGCACCCCAGAAGGACAGTACAGTTGGGACCGATTGTATCAAACCTTATTTAAGAAATCAAAAGGAGGTGAAGAAATACAATATACACGAGCACCCAAAGGCGAACAAGTGGACAAACTAGCCAGTATGGTAAGCTGAATGCATTTTCCTTAAGATGATGCTATGGGCCATATATAGGAGCGTTTTCTCGAAAAGCTAAATTCCACGGAGCATTTTAGCGGATCTGGTGATTCTCTCGAGCAGGTTGGAAACCACAGCCATTTTTTGAGCACTTTGAAGCTGACGATTAAGGTGCCCCTAGTGACTAAAGTCCGAACAACAAAAACTACGCCACAGTCAAAAAAATCCCCAAAGCGTGCCGGAGCAGGAGGAGAAATGGTATTCTTCAGCATTTTTCGAAACATATTCAACTTTTTGCTTAAATAGAAAGAAGATATTACGCAGATTTCTACCAGAGTGGAGGAATTTCTAAACGATGAATAACAGAGATCAGTGAGTTCTGATCTCTTCTTTGACCACCACAGTCCCGTTAGTACATTTGGGGTGCTACCCAATAATAGGTCTTTTCTTTGAGACCAACAGTAGCTATCAACGAAACTTCTCTTCGGAAGCTCATAGTCTTCTGAAAAAAAAAACTTTTTCAGCAAAGGATGCAATACGCATGCAAACGGAAGTAACACAAATTCTCATCGTTTTATCATATTAATTGTTTTCATAATAAAAAATTGATATTGTGCAACAACGCCAGGTTCATGCCAATGTACAGTTCAAAAGCAGCGGATAGGAGAACTTCTATCCTAGTGGCATTTTTGGTGGTTTCCTGAAAAAATAAAATGTGCATGGTCGGAAAAGTATCCACTTACCTTTGCTTCTTCCTAGGCATTCGCCTATAATATGCATCGTTCATATAATATTGCGACTCACGACAGTGACCACAGCTTTTGGCGCAGTAGGTCCTCAAGGCCTTCTTACTGTAACAGGATTACGATAGGATTACTGTATGATTTGACATAACCAAGATGCTACTTTACACTAAAAGAAGCAGTCAGACCCGTCATGACAACAAAGTTGATGTTTAAAATGAATTTTACAATTAAATGAATTTCGAATTACCTCTGTAAGAAATTTTTCGAGGGCACGGCTATCACCACGCCCCCTTATTTTCAAATACGCCCCCTTATTTTCAAAAAAAATGGTTATGAGCGCGCTAAAGGTTGTCAAGCATTCCAAAGATTTTTCGCAAGGCGTGCTCCTTCATTCAAAAAATTCTATAGCATCCTCTCCCCCCCCCCCCCCCTCTCCCCCCGAACAAAAATCGCTTGTTTTTACCTGTAAGGATGATCGCATACGCCACTTTCAGCTAGATTTTCACATGTATCCAGCTCATCCTTGCACGGTGGAAGGCTCTCTGTAAATTTATAAATATCGATCGATTAATGATCGAATTTTAATAGTACTTACCGGCAATTCTTGCTGGTAATGCACAAAGTCGACAAGTTTTTGAACAGTATTCTCCGGCTATGGGCAACCTGCAACCACCAAGACGCCGCACTTTATTACAGTCGATTTTGATAGAATCTAGACACTGTAAACCTAAAAGGAGCAAAAAAATTCAGAAATTCGGGACCATAGGATTTGTGAGTTACGTTGCAGTTCCTGCATTTGACTGGACAAAGTTTCGAATAATAGCCAGGCCTGGATAGACAAGATTCATCCGTAATCTTGGAACAAATTGAAGGATTTCTGTCTTTACAACCTGAAGTTTTACGTAAATTGAGGCTGAGCGATGGTGAAATTTTTATACAATTTACCCAGCAGGGCAATCAGCTCTCCCAAGTTCACAGGAGCATCTTCGGAACTTTCTAAGTGAAGTCCGGATCCAAATTGTCCATAAACGTTCTGGCTGTAGCGATTAGGGAAGAAAGCAGAGTGAGAGGCTAGATATGACTGCGTTTCTTCCTGATGTGGAAACAGCCATCGAGGTGGGGGTAATGATGGATGAAACCTTGATGCTTCAGTAGGTAAAATTGGAATCGAAGATCTGTCTAAACTGTGTGGGAACTTGGAGAAGTGCTCCTGAGGTCTGAAATAGATCGCATTCAAATGTGTTACTCTATCGTTAGCATCGAGCCTTACTCTCGCCTCGGCCATGGTGGTTTTAGCACAATTCTCACAGACTCGGGCGCAGAGAAACCATTATCCATAGCTTCTACGTCAGAATCTTGAACTACAACGAGTTGTAGATGTCAAAGTTACCTAACCTTATAACCTGGAAGTCGTTCGACGTGCTCCCCAAAGGCAGGATGGAGCCCCTCTTTGTCGTCCTCCTCTACAAGTATTGGGCTACTTTCTGCACTACTTGTGTCCAAGAATGGGAGTGGATTGGAATCTCCATCTTCTGTTGATGACCTAAGACATTTCCAGATAGGAATAACCTAATTACCTAATTACCAGTGGCGTACCGAGGGGGGGGGGGGCGGGGGGGGGCGCGCGCCCCCCCCGAGAACGGGTCGCGAAATTTTTGAAAGTTACTTACATGGGTTATAAAAATGTGCAAGTGACTTGTTTTTACTTGTAAATAATTGAAATAATTTTTAAAATTTTTTAAAAATTCATTTTAGCCTTATAAAAAAAATTTTTTCGGGGGCGTGGCTGACACCACGCCCCCTTTTTCCAGATTTTAGGGGTCGGGGGCCCGGAAAAATTTTGAGAAGCACCCCAAAAATTATTTCGGAGTGCGTGGCTAACGCCACGCACCTTCTTTAGAAAAAAATTTTTGTCGCGCCCCCCCCCGAGCCGAAATCCTGGGTACGCCACTGCTAATTACCTAATTAATTAGTTAATTAATTAGGTAAATACACTCAAATTTCGATTCCCTACCTAAAAATGGGAGTGGATGTAGATGGACCATCCGAAAAAGAAGAGGATCTTACCACTGCGGGGATGATTATGGGTACCTATGTCAAGTTTCAGAATATATACTCTGTAGTGAAGATAAGTAACTCACTCGAGTTGTTGTACTTATCGCCGAAGTATCGGGCTTCGATGACTTCGAAGAAGAAAATTTCTGTAGAACTTCAAATTTGGCAGCGCTCACAGGAGTGAACATCAATCTGGCTCCTAAACCTCTGATGTACGGAAAAGAGAAAACGACACATGCTACTTCAAAATCACTAACAGAATTGAAATTTTATTACTGAAGTTTGGGATAGCTTTTAGGACTCCAAAGGTTTACTAAACTTCCATTCCATTTTAATTTAAAGCGAATCGACAGAAGATGCTTGAACGTTAATTCAAAAAAATAAATCCCATGCAGGTGATAAGGAAGTCAATAGGTGTGCATAAAACTACCCAGTAATTATGCTTAATGCAGTCTAAGGACAGAAGATAATGTTATTGTGAACAGTTCATATTTTTGGGAAAAAAAAGGAATCGAAAGGAGTCTTTTCAACTACTTTTACTATTGGAATTCTATAAACTTTATCCAATGGGTAGAAAACCAAACTTTTTGTTGTTGCTTTTGGTTTAAAGGGACTTTCAGGAGCAAACAAGCTCCAAAATGGCGTCTGAACATCGCACAAAGTTTGATCCGCGTATTTAAAAATATTAGGTCGTCCCAAAAGTATTTTTGCTTTTTTTGAACAAGCGCCCAATCTGCAAAACAAAGGTTAACAGGAGCTCTTGGTAGAATTCGATGCAGTTTTTTATTCTCTTTCAAGTGGTCATCTTTAATCAGCAGTTGAAACAATGTACTATCAGAAAATTGCGATAAACTGCGACCCATGCCTTTTACCAAGGTCAAGTTCCACTATTTTTCTAAATTCTTATACTGATCCCCCGAAAAAGTCCAAGTAACCAGCGGAAAGAGCAAAGAAAGTAGGATACAAAACAATTTTTTTTCTCCTTCCCAGAGCTTTCCATAATTTTTGACAAAATTTTAAACAACACTATCGAATTTTAGCAGACCGATACCAGACGCAGACTTGTCAAACTTCACTAGACTCTCAGTTTTTGATACTTTCAAATTGGATTAGGATTTAGCACTAATTTTACAAAACAATTGAGCGTTCCAGGGTTCGAAACATCTAATTTCTAATTTGTCGCGTACAGCCTGGGGTTTCTTAAAAAACATGAATTTTGTCGATTTTAACCTCCAAGACTTCTTGAATCAAGGACAAAAAACATATCTAAGAAGGAGGAGAAAGTGCTGCGTCGAATAACACCCGAGTTGCTCGCCAGCTGTTGTTCTATGAGCTTTAAGTTGACCGAATTTAGAATTTGACAGCATCGAAAAACTAATTTTAAAAAATTTTCGAAGTAAGCTATAGAACGGGCAAAAATTGTATAGCATCCTACTTTGTTTGCTCTATCGACAGGTCACTTGAACTTCTTCGGGAAATCAGTACAAGAATTTAGAAAAATAGCTGAACCTGATCTCGGCAAAAAGCATGAGTTGCAGTTCGTAGCAATTTTCTGAGAGCTCGTTGCATCATCTGCATTATAGAGATGACCGTCAGAAAGAGCATGAAAAACTAAATCAAATGCTACCAAGAGCTCATGTATACCCTTGTTCTGCGGACTGTGGCGCTTGTTCGAAAAAAGCGAAAATACTTTTGGGACGACCTAATATTAGGTTGAACCGAAAGTTCTGTCGTTTCATTTCCAAAAATTTGTAACTTCGCGAGATTTCAACGGATTTGCTTGCTTTTAATTTTGTTAGAAAGAATAAGTCTTTCTTTCAAATGCTGTTCCGTGTAGCTTCTATTTCATACTGGGTGCGGAGATAAAAATGGAAAACTAAGACCATGTAAACTTTGACCATTTTAAGTTAGGTCACCAAAAATCTGCAATGCTGAAGAAAAATCTGAAATCGTCAGCACATATGTCTTTGGCCTACCGTTAGCATCTGTAAAAAGTTTGTGCTGTTTGTACGTCTCTGTGAGAAGTTATGATTTTAGAAAATTGACAAATTAATTAATTTTGGCGTTTTCCATAGTAAACTCGGTATTCATAACTTCTCACACAGACATCCAAACAGCACAAGCTTTTCACAAATGCAAAGGGTAGGCCAAAAAACATATGTACTGACGATTCCAGATATTTCTGCAGCATTTCAGATTTTTGGGGACCTAACTTAAAATGCTCTAAGCTTATATGGTCTTAGTTTTCTATTTTTATCTCCGCACCCAGTATGAAACAGAAGCTCTACGGAACAGCGTTTGAAAGCGAAAGACTTATTCTTCTTAATAAAATTAATGCAAACAAATCCGTTGAGATCTCGTGAAGTCAAAAATTTTTGAAAATGAAACGAAGGAATTTTCGGTTCAACCTAATAAATATAGAAAAAATTTGAATAATTGAGAAGTCGAATCTCCACCAAAAAAAACTATGGATCTTGAACCTGCCATACACTCTAGATCAGACAATTATATAAGTCAGTACTTTTCATGATTAGAAGATTAAAATTAGGCCAAAAGCATACAGGTTTTAATAGGCTTTTAATGCTAAATCTGATGTTTCTCGAATGTTCGTATATTATAGACAACTCAGAATTAGGTAAGGTCTCCGAAAAAGAGTAGCGGTAGCAGTTATGTAGGAGAAAACCAAGTTTGCTGTGGTCGAAGCTTGCCAATTTTGATTTCCTCGATTCATAACCAGAGAAATACGGTGACTGCATTTGTAAATGTTTAATGTGAAGAGTATATCACTGCACAAGTTTGGGGAACTTAGATTTTGTGGATGAATGCCAGAAGGCTCCTTAATTGATTTAAAATTCCCAGGCTCCGAATTTCGTGCGGAACAAACTCTATGTAAGTATTTGGACACAATCTTGTTAAGCTGGTTTCTTTTTATCTTAATGCTCAATGAAAAAAAAATATGAAAGTATGATTTTGTGCAAATTGGATAGCACTAGGACAGCCTAATAATTCCGATTGACTCAAAGATATGACTGCCTGGTAGCAAAGTAAAATGTTTTTACAAATCTCACTCATTTACCTGAGGATCATGAAAAAATATTGAGAAAATATAACAATAAAATATAATAATGTATGAAAGTTTTATAACAGCATACCTTTAGTTTTCTTAAGCTTTTTCTTCTTTGCTCGACAAACTCCACACAACAATGGACAGTAATCTTTCAACATCGAATCGCATTCTCGCTTTCTCGACTCTTTGCAGGAAATAATTTGGGAGTCATAACAGAATGCTAGAAATTGTTCGTACTGTAATCTCTGACACACAGTCAAGTAAATTTTCCGCTTATTATAGTGTGCTCGTAATGCAGGTAAAATGCGACAAAATTTGCGCGTGAGTAACTAGCCAAGCCAGAAGTGCCGGTATTTTGCGCGCGCAGTTCGTTGGCATCATATTCATAGCTATTTCTTCACGCAAAAATTTTATCGCATTTCACCTGCACTGCAAGCACACTATATTAAGCGAAAAATCTACTCGAACTGTATAGTATAGGACGCTTACAAATCCCTCACTTACGCTCACAATTGCCACAAGTCTTCTTACAGTATACAAGAGCATAGCCAGGTCGAACTTTACAATCATTGGCTGTACAGTACGGACTTTTGTCTATACACTCCTCTTCAACATCGTCAAACGGTACCATAGCGCTTATTCCCAAAATTAAAGTGAATAACCAAGTAAGCATCTAAATTAAGTACGTAAGAACAATTCAAACAAAATAAAAGTAATCTTACCTCAGAAAACACACATCAGAAGACGCTAACCTGTCGATGTACCGAGCAAACGATGTGAAACGCGATCATTACCCAAATGAGGTTGTTTGGTCAACTCGTCAAGTGCTTATGGTAGAAGCGCTTCCGCCGCCGTCTGTATTAACACCTTAGCGCATATCTACATGTCTGCCTTATGGGGCAAAGCCTTGGACATAAAAGATTGCTTATTAGGTTGTCCCAAAAGTAAAGTCTTTTTTTTTGAATAATTTGAGCTGTTTTTGTTTTTCTGGTAGACTTAAGGTATTTTTCGACAGAGCAGATCAAGTACTACAAAACATAATAAGGAACCCTCCTAAGTCGCATTTCATGTAAAGTTTGAAGCCAAAATCGAAAAACATTTTTGTCACCTGACTAGGGTTTCTGCGAGAAATCTTATGATTTTCCAACTTGGTCGTTATACAGTGGTCAAATAGTAGTACTCAAACAAATGGTAGCACTCAAATGCGCCTTTACTGGATCTTTTTTGACAAGGAAAGCGAAAAAAGGTACAAAAATGGCAAACTTCGCCCCTAGCCCCCCCCCCCCCCACATATTTCGTTGTTGCGTACAAGCCTTGGTATAGGCCGTCCGCGCAGGGCGCGGAGAGTGCGCAAGGTGTGTATTGCGCGTCACTCCTCTTTCCCCGTGCACTCTCGCCGCCTGTTTTTCTCTGCGCTCAACTATCTTCACTGGACGCAACAGCGTTGCTCTCCGCGCGCAGCGCGGACGGCCTATAAGTATAATCTTGAAACTTTAGCTCTGCTTTTATAATAGAAAAATTACCAAGTTTTACATGAAAAACCCAAAAAACTGACATTTTGGCATTTTCGGACCATCTTTGTTTCTCATTTTTGAGCGATGGAAAAAATCCACCAAATACATTTTTGCGTACTAATATGTGTCTACTATATAAAGACCAAGTTCGAAGTCCTTGAGAATTTTCTGGGAGGAGATTCGATTTTTAGGGTAGCAAAAAATTCTGATTTTTGGCTCCAGATCTGACCAAGTACGACTTATAGGCCGTACCAACCAGCATCGGTTATGCGAAGTCGCGCCTGCGGCGACTTGCGACGGTGCGGTTTGACGCGTGCGAAAACTGCTACGCGTTGAACGTCGCATGCGACCGTGCGTTTTCGCAAGGCATCCCAACGCGCAAACCGATGCTGATCGGTACAGCCTATAGTGAGTCTTTAGTGGTCTTTTTGTAGAGCTTACTCCGGTTTATCGATTGGTTTCCTAAGTCTGTTAAGAAAACAAAAACAGCTCAAGTATTTGAAAAGGGAGTTTACTTTAGGGACAACCTGATAGTCGAAAATCGCTGACTGCCTCTACATTATACCTACCATAGCTAAGCTATATAGCAAAATATGAAATTTTACAGATCCAGCTTGAATAAGCTTTCGAAATGAGTATATTCCTTCCCCTAGAAACCACGTTTACCAGAATCAATTTGACCTACCATGTTGGGTCAGATTCTCTGGCGTGGTAGCCATTGCGGGGCCCACCACCTTTTCCGTGAGAGGGGGGGGGGGGAAATGGGGTTTACCGTAAAGGGGGAAAATGGTCGGGAAGGGAGGACATGTGGCGACTACAGCGCAATTTTTTTTGGTGGGAGAAGCAATCAGTCAGGCCAAGGCTGAAACACCTGCCCTGGCTTCTTTACTCACATTTTTATATAATCACATTGATTTCGAAAGAAGCACGCTTTATAATCATGTGCTAGGTGGAGCTGACGATAGTTTAAACATGACTCGCAATTTTTTTATTTTGATCAACTTTGGTGATTTGAAGGGATTAACTATTCCATTTCAAAATGATTCAGAATCTCTTCCCAAAACTAAAATCTCGTGCATATTTATTAAAAAATCTGTAGAAGGATCTCATGGCATTCCATCAAGTGCTTTCATCAGTTCCTCAGATATATTCTATACGATGAGTAATTACTTTTGCCATTATGGCTTGAACACACTTTTCTCAGAGCAAAATTTTTCATGTCTGATATTCCTAACGAGATTCACACCACCGATCATGGATTGTATCAGAATAACTATTCTTGTCATTGACATTTTTGCTACAGTCCACTTCTTTTTGTTATAGCCTAACTTCTTCCATATAAATAATTGAATAATTGTGCACTTTACAAGTGCTCTAACGGTGCAGAAGTTTTTTCTGTGTTGATACAACTGGCACAGCCATTTTTATTTTTTTTCTTTACACCATACAGATTATACAGAATGGAGGGAAAGTACGAAACGAACGACAACTATGTCACAACGAAATATGGAGAAATACAATACATAGCTCGTTGTACTAACGAATACCGAGCCTGACGCAGTCGACAGCAGCATGCGGATTGTGAAAAAAAGGGGACAACGCTAAAAATTTGGATCCGCCTATCGCTGCAGATTGCGTAAAGCTAACGACATACTGTAGTGACAAGTGATTTATAAAGGCAGAGCCGATAAGAGAGAAATTTACCCATTTCAGCAAGGGCATATATCAACACGGTAATAGCTATTATGTCCAGATCAACATATTGAACGCGTAGTCGAGACAATAGAAAGACATCTAACTACAAATATCATCACAGTAGGGTGACTCCCCTGTGTGACCAGCAATCACGAGACACCAACGCGCCCTGCATCGTCACCCCAAACGCTCCTCATCTCGGGATCAATGGAAACACGGAAAGAATGAGAGGTATTTTTGGTTGCAATTTGCTTTTTTTTAAATGATATTTGGCGATCCCCAGAGCGTTCGAGACGCAGATGCACACCCACGCGCCGGCTAATACACGAATATGGATAAGGTACCTGATGCATGAATCACTGACGATTGCAACCGAAAATGAGTTAAATGAAATGTAAATACAAATACAATGAAAAACAGAATGAAAGAAATGTAAACAAAAATACAACATTCTGAGCTTGCTTTCTCAAAGCAGTGGCAATTGTAGCACTTTGGGATCGAATAAAATGCTAACCTGGCTGCGCTTGGCCAACTGCTTCAATGTCCGCAAAACCCATGAAAAACACATTTGCCTGGATAGAACAACGGGGCGAAAGCCAGCTATGGCAGACTACAACATATCGTCGTAAAAAAAGAACGCACACGGAAAGTTCGAATAATTGATTAGAACCATTAACAACGTAATCAGACAGACACCATCGGATAAGTCGTTGCTTGCAGAGCAGGACTCACATCACGATTTAGGTGTAATTTCGGAGAGCAAGTTTGAACGTACAAATATTGAGCGTCAGTTCAAGTACACGATGATTCCATTATGACTATAGGATCGACACTTGGATTTGATGATGATGATGTGATGAATAGGTTAGAAGTGGCAACGCTACGCGACGTATACATGCTAGAATAACGGCAAATTTGTGCCACATATAAATCAAAAGCAAGTTTCAAATGTTACGACTTTCAGAGAGAAGAAAGCAAAAACCGCTGCTCACTCGTTCTACAAATATTATAAAGTTCAACAAAAAACCTGCCGTAACATCTGAAGCAGCTCAAAGATGTTTTTTGGAGAACCATGATGAGATACGACTAAAGCACAACGGTACACCGATTAGACGGTAATTCATGAGCAAGTGTACATAAGTGATATCAGGGAAAACTGCCCGTAGGGCATGGCAAAGGGCCGCGACTAGAGGCGCCAATATGGGAAATATAGGGACGAGGTGGGACATTAAAGGGGTTGCCTGATGCTTCTCATGCGATAAACAAGAGCGCATCAAGCTTTTTGACGATTAAAGATAGTATGCGGGGGATAAAGCTACTAGAGAATGCCAAAACAAAACGGCTTACTTGCTACGAAAAAAAAATGAAAGAAGTTAGTGGGGGGATCTGAGTATATATGTGCGCAGTCGCGAGCGCCCTGCAGACTAAGTTATAAGCTCGCGCACTACCCGCCAACAGAACGGCACAAAGGCATATAGGGGAGAGAGGAAAAAGAGACAAAAGCATGCTTTGCTGCAGCTGCTGCTCAATAACGATATACGACTACACATAAGACGATGCAAAACACGTATGACGTTCAATTATAAGTGGACATTAAGTAGCAAATGGTCGTAACGAAAAGCATACACAATGTGGGAAAGGCACACTTGGCTGCGAACTAGAGGAGGTACGCTTTCTAATATATCTACTGCATACAAGCTAGTTAATGCGCATCGAACCGAGACGAGCCGCAAAGAGATCGGTTGTACCGAAAAGATCGTATGCGCGCATTGTTGGTGGAGCATCGGCGGTTTCACCGCTGCCATTTGTAGCTCCATTATTCCCGTTCACTGGTGGCGAAACACGGTCGTGCAGCGATGGGCTGATGCTGTCCAAACTTGGTGGACTAGCAGAGCCACCGCTGGCACGAGACATTCCTCCGCGTCCGCCGCACGTGCAACCGCAAGTGCAAGTTCCAGAATCGGCACGCGGTGGATCAGTTTGCACTCCCACGTTTACCATTATCTGAAAACAAAAGCAGAGATATTGAATTAGAAAACCAACACACTAGGCACCCGTCAGATTTCGCTCAGAAGCCCAAAAAGGCTCAGTGTTCTCTAATCTCCCGTCACAATTCTCATCCCTCCTCACTTCGCCTTAACCTAAAAGCGCCAGCACGAAAGCGCGGAAATGTGCAACGAGAGCCGAGAGATGAAGAGAAATCACAGCAATCTGAGCGCTTTTTGGCACTTCCGAGCGATGTCTGGTGCATGCCTTATAACCACATCTTACTTTCTTTGTAAAATTAATACTTAACTGGATTCGAATTTCGTTCAAAAAATGTGATTTGCGCTTTTAATGAGTTCCTGTTAAATATATGATAATAGCACTTTGAGTTAATCAACGCCTCAGGCAAACTACAGCACACTTGCAAAACGCATTTGTACCCTTTTGTAACCTACCATGGATAGGATGCGATAGAATAGGATATGATATTTTAACAGACTTGACCTCAGAAAATGCTCATGTGCTAAGAAAAAAGTTGTGTAACAAATAAGTCTCAACGTACTTTGTTCTGTCCGATGGTTCCACCTGGAGCCGATCCTATCACTCCACCAGCACCTAGTGGAGCTGCGGCCAGGATACGTTCTCCAATGGAAGAAGCGCGAGTGGGCCAAGCTGGTGAGAACATTGGGTCCACTGGGCTCCACTGCTGTTCTGCTGGACTATGCATAGCTCCAATAGTCTAGGAAGATATGAGCTGATGTGCATATAACGACTAGTCAAAAAAGTCGAACCTGTGGGATAGCGCTTCTGCCGTCCCAAAGCGACACTGGACGACCAGCGGCCTGTACTAGCGAACCGGCCACAGCTGCAGTGCGATTGTTCGATAAAGCCTGGACTAAAGGCTGGTGGGCAGACAATGAACGGGCAATTGGACGGGGACCATAGCCGCGAGCGGATGACGGGCGCAGCACGTCCAAATCAGGAAAGTGCTGGAAAGCAGATGTCAGCATTCAAAAACACAAAAACATGCTTGCTGTTACCTGTTTGATAAAACCAGGATAATCATAATGAGGCAAGTTGCGGCGCACTGACACGTAAGTACGATTCGGGAACAATGCAAATATCCATGGATGGCTAACGACCAGATTGAGAAACTCCTGACGACCTGCAAGGATATAAGCATATGCGATGCCACATTAGTATCAACTAGATATACTCACTTTCTCCAATCTGTTCGCGTACTTCTGGTGCCATCTCGGGACCAACAAAATAATCGTAGAGGCTTTGAATGGCTGTTGCGCCACCACGACGTAGAAGATAGGACGCAAGGCGAAGCACACATAGATATATAGCTGGGCTCTAAAAAAGCATCAGCTATCATTTTCAAAGCCACTATCAGATAGCAGAAAATGTTGAGGATTTTGCATAACACCGAAAACAACCAAGCTGCTTTTTCTGCACCTACACCTGTGGTGAGTTCCGAGGCATCTGTCAGGTTTCGCTCAAAAGCATCCAAAAGCGCTCGAACTTCTTCAGGTTTTCATCACATCTCTCACTCTCCTCAGCGTGCTAGCCCAAAAGCGCCAGCACGCTCCCTTGACACGCAAGTGCTAACAGGGAATGCTTTGAAAACGAATGAGTGTGATGAAGGACTGAAGAGACTGAACGTTTTTGAGCCACGTCCGACGGGTGCCTAAGAGCTTCTCAAGGAACTGCAGTAAAATGAGTTGACAAATCGTAGTGGTGTTGTTTCAGCTAAGGCCAAAATTGGTCAATCTTGGCCTTAGCTGAAACAACACCACTACGATTTATAAAGACATGCCAAGATTCATTGATGGTCGGACTTGGAATTAGTTGACAAAAATACAAATGAGCACTTAGTGCTTACCTGTAATGCGATATTATCTTCTGGTGTCAGGCGAAACAGATGAGTACGACGCTCAACAAATTGACGTCGTTTCAGTGACGAAGTGCCCACATAACGAAAAAGTTCGTCGTCTGCACAGTTTGACATTTGCGAGTGCAAGCTGAAATGTGCAGGAAGTTACAAAACGTTTGTTCTTTTCTGAGAGGAGATGAGACTGACCTGCTCAACTGAATCTGAGTGAGGGCATGACGCTGAAAAATGGCTAAGAGCGCTGGTATTGCTCTGGCTTCAATTCCTGGCGAGTAAGCATCCTTCGAATTTGGTGGTGTAGGACAAGCCTTTTCTAGATCAACTTCTGGTGCATTCATAAACACTTGCTCGGCCTCCTACAAAAGAAATCATTGAGGAGATAACTTCAAAACTAGAATGCCTCTCAGCTTTAACTACTTACAGGTCCATAAAGTGGATGTACTAGTGTTGCTGTGTATTCGTTGGTTTCGTTGAGTGATGCTTGGAAGGAAAGAGTAAAGCCAACGCGTAGAACTGACGTCAGATCTGTGAGCATCTGAAACTTGTCCATTTTAACTTGCATCAAAGCCAGTAGGCACCACTACATTACCTGATCACAGAAATCTTTTATCTGGAATGAAATGACCATTTTGTTTTTGCATGTGATCAGACCAGCTTTGCCAGATAACCATGTCAATTGACCGTAACCTTGGATCGATTCAGCTTTTGGTTGATGTAGTTCTAGTTGATGATTTGGTAGATATGATGCATTGCCGCCGAGTAGACTGCTCATCGTCGGCAAAACGCCTGCAAATACTGCACTTCGCAATATTTTTTAGACTTATCCATATCTGACAGAAAACTATCGAAATTATAGCTTAGGCCACTGCAATCGAAGTCAAGTTAATAACTCTGAAGCTACCCCTCTCCCTTCATTATTTTCTGGTTTAATACTTTGGAAATTTCTTCGCATCTCTTTACAACAACTATATTTAACTCTGTTAATAAATTTACTGTGAAATGAGCGCCTAATATCCCTAGTTTACAGACGTACAGGGGAAAAGGGCAGGTTATACCGCACAGCATCGCGTTAGCGAGGCCACTATAAATCAAATGTAAGATGCGGCATTACAAAAGAAAAATTATACATATAGGAGCACAAGAAAAGTAGGATCTGAAGGTATATTGCCAATGTCTATAATTATGCTGACTAGAAGCAAATTGATATTCCCCAAAAGATCTTCTTTCTATTGAAGACGTTTTGCTTTGTTCATCTTTTGCTTGAGTCGAATTTGAAGCACAAAAAAGCAGGCATTATTTTAAAAAAACGTCATTGCACTTAACTGCTAAAGATTCTGTCCAATAACTGAGCCTTATCACAATGCTCATTCTGCAAAAAATCTCTAACGCCCCAAAGTAAATTCCATTAACTTTGAAGATATCATGAGCTTATAGGCTACATGATGACACTAGAACCAAAAAAGATCCATGCTCTCTATTTTTATTGCATATGGGACATTCATAAAAATCATTGATGTGTGCTCTTTGTGCGTTCATTGGATATAATATGGCTATGTCCCGATTGAACTTCAAACAATGAGAATTACAGCGCTTTGTAACTCATCATACACAGTTTTTTAGCCCCTTCAAAGCTGTTCATAATTAACATACCCGCAGAGCCTCCATATGGCTGAACTGCACCGGATGACCAGATACTGTGATGTTGATGCGGTTGTTGCGCAAACATTCCGCCTATTTCATATGCCATTGTGGTCTCTCTAGGCTGTGATAGTTTCTTCTGATCTAATTTAACGTCCTACTATTTTGGAGGTGGATCTTCCAGTGTTTATTGCTCTGGTGTGGATCACAATCGCGTCGTCGTGTACCTCACGTTCCCATAGAAACGACGCCTTGTCGCCTAAAATCAGATGGTTAATCACGTTTGAATAAACAACAAGTGAACGCATCATGTTCGAATCTATAAAATGATCAATCGGCGGTCGTATCATGGAAGGGGGGAAGGTAGGCAGGTGAAATGCACGAAATGCACGTCCTACTGCTGTAAACTTTCATTTGAGCACAGTAAAAAGCGCACGGTTATCGCCCGCGAAGCGAACTTTGCAAAATGATTGACGCACAAACGAGACACTGGAGAAATGAATGTTTTCTCGTTTTGTAAAGAGAAGAAAACGGGCTCAGCAACTGATGTGAAATTTGAGAGAGAGGAACATTATAGTGCACCGCAATAACTAAGCAAACCTCAAGCAAGCTTTTTCCAGAGTCATAAAAGTCTGTACTCCCTTTTTACTTTCTTTTAAACAAAAATATGTCTAGCAAACTCAAGGGCATTCAAGAAAAAACTTCAAAATGACTCAAAACCGAGGCTATTGCATAACGATACATGACAAAAAGATTGCATTCCCAGAATGAAACTTACATTGAGTATGGAAAAGTGGGGTAAAACGTGAAGAATCTCTTGCTCATGGCACCAGCTGCCTAATCTTTTCCAACAGAAAAGCGAAACTCCGTCTATCATATTCGAGATCATTCCCGAGACACAAAAATTCATGGATATTTCATGCGTTTTTCCACGCACATATTGTGATTTTACATATCAAAATAAGAGAAACAGCACAAAAACCGATATCCTTCGGAACATAACCTCGGGCATACATTATGATTGTGACTGTGACCTCGATCTTTTCTATCCCAGGTCCCCAACTCCCACACTTTGCACAAACTAAAGGAGGTCAAAGGAATGATCAAGGGCTTCCATGCAATATTAGGGCTGCAGTGAGTCATGGGACAAAATTCCGAGATTCTATCAACTCTAACAATTTCACACTCCATAATCAAGAGGCGAGCATTTCCAGCGCGAACTACCAAACACCAAAGCTAACTCCTCTTTCGTCATATACGAGACGTTTCGATGTGTCAGAAGCGAATCGGCGATAACGGCAGAGCAGCAAGTGCTTATAAAAAAAGAAAAACAGTGGTGCGGCGACAGAACGACCAACGCACGATGCCACATGATAAGATAAGTGATGTACGATAAGAACTAGTAGGAGCCGGATAATTTGTCACTATCACAAACTCACACAACACAAAAACTCAAGGATTAGAGAGGTGATTTGAAACAGACTGCTACTTCTTTTATGGCTGCTCAAAACTACAACAGCAAGGGATTTCACCGTCTCTGCAAATTCTGCAAACAAAAATATTGGATAGCTATCGCTCTTTGGATCAGGATACTTGCAGATGCAGATAAGGACTAAAGGAGCAGATGCGAAATCTCGATGAACTTGCACTTTCCAATTTGTTTCAAAGAAGTTCTGTTGAAGGCAGACCGTAGGCCCCTAAAGACATTCAAACACCAAGAGATGTAAAAATATTTTCACTTGGGTACAAAGAAGAAATTACTGCAGAACATCAGTTCGAAGCGTCATGTGTAAAAAAAACCACAGCATGACTTGCCTTGGTAATCCTCATACTCTGTCATACATTTAAACTACCATGTGAAGATGTACAAAAAAAAACTTGCCACTCTTTGCGAAAGATCCTTCAAATTTTGAACGTAAGGTTCCCAATTATGCCAATTACCCTAGATCACATATTAATAAAAGAAGATTGAGCCGAGAATGATAGTCCACACTATACATGGCACTTCTCCCCGACTAATTATTCCACATATAAGAGGGTGCCGACATCAGACAAGAGCGGGTCGCGAGCGGATAAGAGTGATGAGGGTGTCAATGTACGGAGCAATGTCAAACATGCACGATGAGAGCGAAGTAATGCGAACCGTGGTTGGATAGGGAAACAGAGTGGTGAGATTGGAATTCGGCGCTCTGCAGCCGCGTCTCTTCGCCGTTATTATGGGAAGAACGCGGATCGATACTACCACATACACATACACCCTCGCTTTCACGCTCAGCAACCAATGAACAACCAACTCAACGACGATCGACAACCGCTCGGCCCGATCGGAACAGCTAACTCTCGCCCCCGAGCGATGAGAGAAAGAGATAAAATGAGTACGAACCAGGATCGCAGAGAAGAAGAAAGCAAAATTAGTCACGCTCCCTCTGCAAAACAGCACAAAGATGATGTGAATGATGATAAACAGAACCTTTACATTTCACAAAGATTCGCAAATACCAGAGCACAAAAACCAAAACCTCAGATTTCGCCAAAACAATGCAACAAAGTGCTATGATTTTGGCCTTCATGTATACTTACCAATTTCACGAAGAAGGCTCTACCTTGCAGCTTGAGTATCATCGTGATTAGCCGTCGTGATAAACTGATTACGGTGATATTCAGATTGCAGAATCTTCTTCATGGATATGGTAAGAGTACGGTAAGGTTAAAACTATAGATGACTGTGATGATATGCTGCACACGAGCGATGCACCCACATTAACGATGCAGCCTTAACAACTTCGAAGTACTATTTTAGCTCCCACTGAACGGCATTAAAATAGCAACTGCACAGATATTCAAAAATGTCAATTGTCATTAATTTCTGGGCAATCAAAGACGTGGTCTTTACCGTACACCTACCTACCATATATTAAAAGCCTGGCAAAAGTGCCAAATTGCTAGATGATGCATCATACATTGCAGAAATTAACCACTGCAAAAATTTTATTCAAGTCATAGCTAACAGAACTTTTGCCATAAAGACTTTCCGTGATGTTCTATCAACTGTATCAAAGCCAGCATTGAATTCGAAGGTCAAGCGTCATGGAACTCCTTTAGCTAGGAACATGTTACGGTCATCAAAAGCCGACCGAACAGCAGGTCATTTAGCAACCCTCTGCAACCCGATGGTGCTCAGACAAACCGGAACAAAGGCTTTTTTTCTAAAGTTCTCTCGAGCTTGCACGAAGAGTGCAGTCAATTAATTCGTTCTACGATAACATAACCAACGTGAATGGTGTAAGGAAATGCAACACTCAAAAAAAGAAAGACATAAATTACCTGACCGCCCGAACGCTTATTTAGGAGAGTTTCAAAGAAAGATTTCTGTATAAGACCGACGAAATTGTTCATATACGTCGTTCATGAGATATAATAACACCTAAACATGACCAACACTTGTGGTGAAGACAAAGGATAGGAACTTAGAGTTGAGATCTTCTTATAGCAAAGTAACTTGATTCCTTCTGCAAAATAAGTCCAACTATTCGAACACACGTACATAATCATATCGGAAAGAGAATGGACGTGGTGCGCTAAACACGCAGAGCCAGCAGCAGCAGAGAGAGCCGTCGAGTCAATGAAACGAGAAGTTGCGATAAATGTTCGGAATAACCAACGAGACAAAGCAGAGACGCAGAAATGCACGGCTGCGACGAGAGCCGCACGCAGACACGCCGTGATATGGCTAGGCGATCGATAACCCAAGCGCTGTACGCGGCCGCAATCGCGTAGTGGACACCGCGCGCGGCACGGCGAGCGTCGGGACGCAGAGTTCCGCGGCGATAGAACAAGATGTCGATGAAAGCAACGAAGCAACATTCGAGAATCGACCTGGAGGCAGACGACGAGAGTGCGCGATGCGCCGATAACGGTAGCGCATCGACCGCACCCGCACACAAACCACACGACGATTTTGGAACTTCGGTTCTATCTCGCCGCTCTCGCAAGCCAGGGCTCGCCGGCAGTAATTACGGCGTCTACTGGAACTAGACGGGTTTCACGCGCCGTTCGTTTCGGGTTGTATAGACTCGAGAATCTTCACGCTTTTAGGCAATGCTGATGGATGGAATAACGTTGATTTTTGGGTCGAACGTTTTTAGCAGGAACGAGGGCATATGAAATGTTTACAGTTGATCGAAAGTGTAACAGCAAGGGCGAGAAGCATTGTTTAAGACAGTGTATTGATTGGTCAGGTATTGTAAACGAGACGCCGACAATTGCGCAGCTGCATAGAGGACAATACTGATTCTTCCAGTGCAAATCGAACATACCGCTGCTATACACCATTTTGTTTCAGATTATATGGTCAACTTTTCTAGAATACTTAGTGAGATAAAGCATTAAATCTCGTTTTTTCCATTGAACTGGGTTTAGAAGAGGATCTCCAGCTTAGCTACAAAATTTAGCGGGCAATGGAAGACTTAACTTTGCGATTTCAGTACTTTTTAGTTTCTACTTCCTGACTAGCAGAAAACATTGCAAATACTGCAAAGAGCTAACAAAAACAAAAAATCACTGCAAACACGTTTTGCACTCACTCAATTTTCAATGTTCAAAAGTAATCCCAATGAAGATATAGGCGATTCATCACATCGTGTGCCACTACGGACGCTGTCGGCGTCTCGCTATTCGAGCGCTCTTTCATCACTTCACCTTCTACTGTCTCTCCCACACACGAACTATCTTAATCGGACGCAGCGGCGTTCAGTCTGTGCATCGCCTACCTTTGACTTTGTAACACCTACCCAACTTTAGTCTTAATTTACTACTAAGAAACAGCCGCTCATTCAACTTTTTACGTAGTGCAAGTTAAGATGAAAGTGTCATCGGCTCCAGAATTCGAGGTGGGGCCTTGCCAACTTAAAGCGTGGCGGTTTTTGATAGCGAGAGAGTACAAAAAGCAATGCTATTAGTTTATCCTTATAATCAGGAAGAGTCCGCAACCCGCCTCTTTACGAATGTGGAAGACGATTGTAACCTTTCCCTCATTTACAGTATCAGAATAGAAAACATTCACTTACTTGATTACTTACAGGAAGCAAATCACCTTACGATGCGGATGAGATCGATAAATGAAGCCGATGTGAAACGACTTGCAGGAACTTGCAAGATTTGCATGTACAAACAAGTTAATACAAGGCTAAGGTCGCTAAGGTCACGGGATTAACACGCAAGAACATCATCGCGATCTTAACATGTCAAAACAATGACTCACACATTTCCCTGTCTTTGCATATTCACTCGATATTCTGCGCGTTTCAATGTGAACATGTCGACATAACCACCAAGGTCAACATGATCATTTGCGTAAGAATGCATAGAACAGGTTTTCATACGTCTGGCGGATCAAAAACAATACAGGACACATTAATAGTTCAGCTTGCGCGCATTTGCAGGACAGTATGTATTCCTCACTAGCTTGCAATTCTTTTTAAATTGAAATATGGACGCATCCACGACAGAAATTCCCTTATTAGCTATTGAATTTCCTTTACATCGAAAATTTCGGCTTCCTTTATTGTTACACTGACAATGGACGCGTAGATAGGGCTTTTAGGTCGCGGAGGAAATGTCAATTTGACGACAAGCATCAAAGACCATAGATTGGGAGACCGCCAGCGGAAGGGGAGGGCCGAGTTTCGATCAAAAACATGATGTGTGAGAAATGAGATTTAACTACAGCCCTGCCATACTGACTGTTTATGATGGCGCTCACAATATTTATGTGGAAAATTGCCATGCTTGTGATGTCGACATCGCTTGCGCAAGAAAAAATGACCATAGAGCGCGCGTTCCTCAAGCTTTGCGCCCTTTGGCCATTTTTCACGAGCAAATGTTGTCGGTACCGTAGGGCACGGTGTACGCGAGCTTCGCTAAACTTATGATAATTGAGGAATTGAACTTCCTGAGTCTAATTTCTAAAAGCCTATTGAAACACTTCCCATCCAAATACAGCTTAGTCTTTCTTTGCTTCAAACCAGAAGATTGCGTTTTACCTCGCATTACACAATCTGTTATTAATTTGCGAGCTGTTTGGGATGTGCACTGGGGCATAATCGTCTGTTTTGCCCTCAAATTATCGGCGTTAATAACTGCAGCGGTGTGGTAGGAATTAAGCCGGAAGTGAAAACGGACGAGAGATGCAGAGAACCGGTTTGAAGTGGTATTCAACTCACTAATAGGTCGATGAAAATGGAAATGTAAAATATCATGGCTCAAGCCTATATAGAAAAGCATGAGAGCTTATTTAGCGCCGCTCAAAAAGCATCGTCACTGACATGACAACGATGAGATTGGGTCACGGTAAGTGACCCTCTAGACTGCACACAATGGTTCTATCGTTGCCTTTGGCATCGCTTGAGAATCCTGCGACGAGTAGGCAGATGTCCCTGTAAGTTTTCTTTGGAACAATCGGGCCGAATGTCAAAGATTCTAGCGCATATTGTATCGTTTCCTTCGTTCATGCAGAATGAAGTTATATAACAGAGTCAGTCGGCATCAATTTTATGACTGAAGGCAGCTCTAGGCACCTTCCTGAATGCAAGCCCCAGGATAGAGGCATTTGTGTTGGTATGGCCCCCTTTAATGGAGACAATGGACCTAGAAAGTACTATCAAGCCACGTCCAAACCCTATCAAGCTCCGCCCACCCAGGTAGTGAAAGCCATCTGGGTCCGCAGAATAGGGTTTCCAGATAACAGATGTATTTGGGGGTTTGTATATTTTGAACTTCATAAATGTAATTAGAGCCACGGAAAGGCTTCAGAATGACAAAACTTGAAAGACGAAATGTCAGGGAACGCTGCCTTCAATGAGGAGTATTATTTTCCTGCATGAGCTCGAACAGCCGTTTCGCTACCTCTCAGACAATCGCGAATAACTTCCGGAGGAAACTGAACTTCTAAAACTTTTGGGGGGGAGGGGGGACACTCCTACTGGAGCTGCCAGGTAGGGCGGAACACCCACACGGCCCAGTAGGAGCGTCCCGCCGGAAGTTTCAGAAGTTCACTTTCCCACGGAAGTCATTTGCGATTGTCCGACTTATTCCGCAACTGCTTGCTCGCCACGGACTGTATAGCGAAGAGTCCACAATTACAAGAGTAAGCGCGAAGATTAAAAACGTTTGTGTGCGAGGCTGGAACGTGTTTGGTCACCAGTGGCCATCCTAGCTACTCTGGTCCCTCATGGCCTCTGTTTCCCTTCTCGCCTCTCAACTTCGAGGTCGGCCTATCGTTGCATATCCGTCGCGCATTACGATCAAACACCACATGAAACTGATTGAGAATTTCAATACAACATCAAACTGTTTGAGCAAATGCAGAGGAATTACAGCCAACTATTCAAGGAACCGCAAAGAATCATGTCTATTTGAGTAAAAATGAAGATTGTTTGCGAATTCTTCTCTGATCGCTGCACGCAAACTGTTTGTGTAGAGATAATGTTTTATTGCTCGCATTGTCATCGGTTTACCTATCCTAAATTAAAGGCTGATTTCAATAGATATTCAATTTCGGGTTCACAGTACACTTTTTCTATTGTGCGCACCACTAATAACATGATAAACTCGTTATTATCGACGATGAATGTCAGCATAACTTATGCGGCCAATAGTTTCTCGATAATTCATCGGAAAGAAAAAGCGAGGTCCATAAAGAACTTCCATGTACGGGTATATTCACAGAACCTTGCGCAGTTATGTCTTTAGTTGGATAAATAGATAGCTGAGATGAAACACCAACAAATCACCAATAGAAATCATTCTTGTAAGACCCCTATACCACACTTTTTACGTACCCTATTTTCAGGTGCATAAGCCGCACCCTTTTTGCTCTAAACGCGAGCAGACCCAGGCGTGCCGCCGCGCATGTGTCTCGCGAAGCGGTCGCCTTATCGCATACTGCTCTCACTTAACGCGCTCCATGATGACAGTCAGTCTTTTGGCGTGCTCGCCTTTAGAATGAAAAGGGTGCGCCTTATACACCTGAAAATAGGGTAAGTTAGAGAGGAAAAAGTGTGAATAAATGCTCTAATACAATAACTGTGCTCTAATACATGTGTGTATTAATGCCTGTGTGTCGAAGGCAGCATCCTGACGAAAGTGGAGAGCCTCAACTTCTCATGTGAATTGCTAGCACGAAAAAGAAAAAATATTTAAATCAAAGCTACAGCCGAGTAGATATTCCGCCTAATAAAGTGTGCTTGCGGTGCCGAGAAAATGCAGTGGAACTTGCTCGTGATTAAGCAGCCACGCCAGTAATGCCGGAATTTTGCGCGCGCAAGTGGCCGGCATTACGGTAGAAGCTATTTGTTCACGCGAAGATTTCACCGCATTTCACCTTCTGTGCAAGCACACTAAATTAAGTATATTATGACCCACAAGGCAAAGAAGTTGCTAATAAAGCGTTGAGCAGCTCGCCAATTTACAACCAGCCGTGAGTGCATACTATTGCCGAGGCCACAGGCCTAATCTTCGGTACATAAATAGCTACTTTACTCTCTTGCCAGTACTTCGTACACATATATTTGACCATCACCTTTATTGATTACCCTGCGCTGCAAACCACTAAATACTACACTGCATTATGCAGTACTGAGCCCCTCATCATAAAAACAACAAAAGATAGAGCATATAACATAACAAATCATCAGGATAACAAACTTTTAGAAAGTTAATGATGCCAGAATTAGTCAGAAAGACGAAAACCAGTCAATCAACTATAAGAAATTAGACTTATCACAAGTTGGTTACTCGTAAATCGAGATTAGATACATCATGAAAATACCAAGAAGAAGAGCCAAGATCTCTCCTATGGACTGCCCGGTTGATGAGTTCTCGAGAAGTTCTGGGATTACTGAGACTGTAGCTATGTAGATGAAGCCTCCAGCCGTGAATGGAAGAATCCAACTGCTAGCGGCTGCGTCTGCTAGGGCTGATGGATCTGCCACTTGAAGCGCAAGAACGCATCCAGAGAGCGCACCGAGAGCCGTGGCAAGTTGAATAAGCATGGCCTTCTTCTTGGAATAACCCGACTGTATCAATATGGCAAAATCTCCGATCTCATGAGGTACTTCATGAACAAGAACGGTGATCATGGTCACTACTCCGATTGTGGTTCCGGCAATAAATGAGGCTCCAATGGCTAGACCATCAGTGAAATTATGGGCGAAGTCAGCTACGAGATTGAGGTATGCGGCGACTTTGATTCTAGCGGGTTCCGATTCAGATGGCACAAGTTGACTCTTTTCGTGAGAACTTTTCGAGCTTTTCTGCGAATCATCCGACTCTTCATCGGATTCCTTGGCCTTCTTCTCTTTGAGTGGTGTGTGCTTGTGCGAATGTCCATGAGAATGTCCATGACCATGGTCGTCCTCTCCTCTGATAATCCGCACTATCTTCTCGACTATCAAAAACGCAATAATACCAGTAAGGACCCAGCCGCCAACTCGCAGTCCTGCATGGGAATGGCTGTGACCACCTCCTTCGTGCGAATGAGCGTGGGAAACAGCTTCGGGTCCCGTAGGTGAGGCGTGAGGAATCAGATGCAAAAAGGCGTCGCCAAGTAGACCACCTGATCCAAAAGCTAGCAGCACCTTCAGCCACTTCTCGTTTGAGGGAGAGTTGTCTTGAATGGGGATGAAGTACAGAAGGAAACATGGAGCAGCACTTATGAGCAGGGTAGCTCCAATGGCATGTGTCCAGAGATTAGGATTGACAACAAACTTCCGACGATCATAATCATAATCGTGTTTGTGACCGTGATCATGGCTTTCATGAGTATGTCCATGGTCGTGATGATCATGCGCATGTCCATGATCGTGATGGTCATGAGCATGTCCATGATCGTGATGGTCATGAGCATGACCATGGTCATAATGGTCATGACCATGTACGTGCTCTTCTTCATAATGAGCATGTCCATGTGAATCTTCTCCATGGGAATGAGTGTGCGCATGCTCATGGGAATGACCATGATATACTGTATCCTCGCCTCGTGCTGCCCTTTCGTTTATCTCTCGTCCGTATTTTGCATGTGCAGGTTCATGACCGGAAGCATAAGTGAGTATAGCGACGAGAACGAGCAATGCCACGAATCCCATGCGAACCCTGAAAATGTTTGAGTTCAAACGGTGCATATGGAGAAACTCACATAGATGCCATGTTGACGTTTTTACTAAATTCTATGATTCCGGACATATTTCGTGCGATTAGTAGCCACGCGATCTGGCAATTTGTAGAATAACTTCAAGCCACAATAATCTCATAGACATGAAATGTCCTTCTTTTCTACTTTTAACACGTTGACGACCGCGCCATTTTGGGCGAAACTCCCACTAACGTCCTTCGCGCATTTGGCCCGTGCATACGCGCGGATGCACGAAAACATTATGTGGGAGTCTTTTTGACACTTATTAATAAAACATGCAAACTTTGTTCAGACATACAGGTATATTACAGAGCCTTACCAGGACACACACAAATCAAGGTTTTTGCATCGATTTTCCCTCCGAAAATCCATGCAATGGCTATATCTGAGGAATCGCTCTTCGAGAAAAGCGTTGTAAAACCAGATGTTTTTTGCCTGATTCATCTTTGTTTGATTTCAGAACAGCTATACAGAGTTTTCACCTTCTCGAGAAAACGTAATTAGCATGTATTGACTACGTCAAAAACGTACTGATTACCCAATTTTGCGGCCAAAACTTCTGAACAGCTGCCGCGAAGCCCTGTGTTCTGTAAGACAATCAGGCCACTAATAGTATTACTGCATAGAAGTTACCTTAAAACTTTTCGCTTGCACCTAAAAAACTAGCGTGCATATGCGCGGATGCACGAAAATGCTAAACGGGAGTCAGGGCGTGCATACGTGCGGATACACAAGGTCGTCAACGTGTTAAAACACGCTTGCGATGAAATGGACAATCGGAGTGTTGCCAAATCGCGTCGCGACTGAAATCGCCTGTAGTATGCCCGGGACCTATAGCGGTTGGCCTCAGATGTTCAATGAAGCTTGCTGAGAGAAGAGCAAGATATGGCTATTCTAGAAAAAGCTGTTGGTAATTGAATTGCTCTTGCGTAATGGCAAAACGATTCTACCACATGATGCAAAATCTCTTCACACAATCGCAATATACTAACATCTCGAGCTGAAAGCGCGAAGTGACAAAATGCTCAAGTAGGGACACTTTTGATGCGATCAGATTCTGATAAAACCAACGATGCAGATTTCGAAGGAAATGGAGTGACTATCATATTTTCAACAAATATATATATGAAACAGTCTGCAAATATATCAAGGATCGCTCCTGCCCATTACAACTGGCAATTACTGCTTTATAAGTACATATTTACACAAAAATTCATGACAGAACAAATGGATTAGCCCGTTTCCATAGTATCAGTAGATTTTTCCTTCTGAGATCGATCGTCATCCTCTCCGTCATCTTTTTTATCATTTTGTTCAGCGTCATTTGCCAATTCGCTATCCTCGTCTGCAAAAGATCAATAATAGTTATAACTGGGAATGAGACAAGAAAGCTGACATACCTGCAAGGAGTTTTTGGAAATTAGCTAGGATTATGTTGAGGGCATGAAGGTGATTCCTGCGCTCCGACAACTGCAACGGATAATTAACGGATGTCACATCAAGTGATGAGAACGCCACGTGGCTTGAATGTACATGGCAAGTCGGTCACGCTGTACAATCGAGTACGCTTCTTAGCTGCGATCGCGCATTTTCCAAAAAGCTGGAGAAAGTCCAAAGCGCATGTTATGTGATCAAATGCTAAAACCTAGATGTGCCTCAACAACAAACAAAACCAAGAATAGACAGAAAAAACTAAAAAACCGGGCTGCATGAAGCACCCAACTCTGAGAAAAGCATAGCTGTACAGTCCAAAGAAGTCTACTAAAATATCTGGCGTCAAGTCTAGAATCTATTTACTCGTAAAGCGCCTTTTCAACTAGACCGCAATTTTGATTGTAACTTGTGTGTGTGTGTTTTTTTTTGACGGATCAAAACCAATTGGAAAAGAACCTACCCTCGCTTCTAGCTGCTGTTGACGTTCTTGTTGTTGGGCAAGCTCTTCCTGCATATCTTCCAATTTTCTACAATTTTTATAATTGAAGCGAATACTTTAGAAAAAAAACAAATTGTTAGAGACCCAAAAACAAAGTAACGGCTTAACTGACTTGGTTGTTTCAGCCCGGGATGGTAGATCGTCTATCATTCCCACCAAAAGTGCATATTCCTTCCTATTCTTTCGTACAAGTCGGGCTGCGGTGAGGTCTTGCTTCGCTTGTGCCATCTTTTCGCGACTGATGGCTATCTTCAGAACGGAAATAACAGAATGTAGTCGCTGAAGAAAACAAATGCTAATTACTTCTTTGTCAACCCTTTCCGCCATTTCTTCATACTCCTTTGTCTGTCTCACACTCATTTCGGCAATTTCTAGTTGTTTTCTCATCGATAGCTCCAGTGAATCTATCTTAATTTGGAGAAACATATATGAGAATTTTTTTCAAATTGCAAGTTGAAAATGACGCACCAACCGCAGAGCCTTCACAGCTTCAGCTTTGCTCACAGTGTTGGGATTACGCAATGAACGAAGGCAAGCATTCAGGAGCTGAAAGCGACGCTCTTCCCCAGTGCCTTCACCATCGGCAAGGAGTTTGCGAAGCAAAATTTCTTCCCTCATTTCCTGACAAAGCGATTTTAATTATTTAGATACTTCCACATGCATCTGCATCGGGAAAATAACTTGAGGCTCGAAAAAATGAAGAATGAACTGCAGCTACAGTCAAGGCTTGTGAAGCCATTCACATGTTCAAAACAAAATTAGAAGAAAATACTATGAGAAATGTCAAGAATACGGACTGCTACACTTGACATTTCGTCGACCCACCCAGCATTACACATTCCAGAAAAAACCGCAGAACATTCAAGAAACAGTGGTGAACTTTGGAAACTTGCAATGCAAAGCAGAAGACTTGTTTGGTCGTATATTAGGGAGTGCAAGAATTTTGACAGGCCACTCTTTAATACCTAAACCCTCCTTCAGCTTTAAATGGAAAAGCACAGCGGCTAGCAGAATTACAAGTAAAAAAAAACAGCTTAGATGACAATTTTTTACTTGTTATATGCAGATATGTCGATAGTAATATGGATGCCCTGGGAGAACCAAAGTTGAAAATGCCACACGAAATCAAAAAAATAACAAAAATTTATATAACAAAAGAATCAACAATCATCTAAGCCGACGACTCCATTTTCACATGTCGTTTGTTGTGCTTTTTAGCGAAACGTAGATTCTTGAGGAATTTCGGATCGACACCCTTCATCGACATGAATCTTTGCTTCTTGGGCTTCTTGATACCATTACGGTGAGCCTTCTTGTCTAAATAAAGCCTGATTAACGAAATGATTGAAATACCAAGACAATGATCTCAATTAATGATTCAAGAAGCTAAAGAAGATACACAAATGCAACTATCTGCATCCTTGAAAGTTACATAAAAAGGTTGACTTTTGACAAGAGTTACAACTCTGATAGAACCGCAGCTTGGAATTAATAAAAAAGACTCGCACATTTCGTGGTAGACCTTATAGCACTATACAGGGTAGCAATAGTTTAGTGGTGATTAACATAATTGCGAACTGATGCTATCATCGTTACAAATTAAACCAGTTGAGTTGGAAGCTAGCAACTTCAGCCCAAGCTGTTCACAAAAACTTATTTGATTTGTGCCAACTTGCAATTGAAGCGTAACTGTCTGTTATGGCATCGAAAAACGTGTGTTATCAGATTAGCCTGCGAAGGAACACTTCAAACATAGAAACACAGGCGTGAGTGGTACAAGAGTCTGGGTTGCCTGCATAACCTTGATTTTCTATTCTACCACAGCACAACAAATGACATTCATAAGATCATAATCAAATTGAACGTGAACAAAAGCAAAATAAAGAAGGCAACTTACTTTGATTATGATTCGTATGGTTCTTCGACTTGGCCATCTTGGCGGAAAATTACCTCTGAAAAATAACAATTTTCACCAAATCCAAACAATAAACACAATACATAACGAGTACTGTGAAAGCAGTAAATAATGCTGCAAGAAGAAGAAAACGAAGAATGTGAAATTTGCCGTACTTCAGCACTGTGAGCGCACTCAACCGGAGCAAGATTCTAGTGCAACAGTATATGGCCGTAAATTCAAAGTTATAGAAGAATCCAATACCACTTTTAACCACAACAAAACAATTAAGTTTGCAAAAATGGTCGCGAAATCCCAAAATTTTCCGTGAAAAGGACGAGATGTCACTGGAGCAACTCGTCCACTTGTCTGCACTCTCCTGTCACAATCATTCAAAAAGCTTAGCTCTTACCCCTTTGTCCGTCTTTCCCCAGATACACCGCTGACATTCGTTTCAGGACTCGAACAAAGTAATTGCATTGGTCCTATACCCCCTCGCCCTCCGAACATTTCCGCGCGTCTGCATTAGCTTCTGTTCATGAAGTCTTGAGTTAAATCGTCATCACGAGATTTTTACGTTCTCTGGCAGAAGTTTGTGGCCAATGGGGTGTGATTTGGTTCCAAAAAGGGGCTTAGAAATAAGGCTCGGATAAGTTCGAGAGTTGGGATTTCCGTTTGTCACCAACTCCAAACCTCCAGTCTGGTACTAAAGGTTGTGTAATCGACTGCCGCAAAGTGGGTTTCCATTTACAATCATGTGGTCCAGTTGGCAGCTCCTTCAGGGTGAAAGATTTCAACTAATCAAGAATTTAGAAACGTCAACCGAGAGAGGGTCTGATCCCAATATACGTGAATCGGGCGTTCCCGAAGTACGTCGACCGCGGGGTTCTAAATGTACGTTAACTGCGGGGGGAAGGGGGTAAGAGTATAGAGCAAGTTTGTGTGTCGCCGAAATGGCGACCTCTTCCGGTGAGACGTCCCGATACAGCTGTTTGCCCAGCTTCCCTGCTATAAAAGCAGGGACTGGGAGTGATATGGTGTGTTTTGAATCCATTCCGTTTGCACCCTGTCCGAGTAAAATGGACGTTGTTGTTGTATTCCCAATAAACTCACTTTATTTCAAAGTCTGGACCACCGCGGCACATTTTGGTGCATCGGCCGGGAATCGAACCCGGGAAGAGGTGGACATTGAACAGCGTCAATCTCCAATCGTCTAGGCCCTAATGGCCATCGACACTAACATTGTAAGTTCGTCACTATACTGAACTTATTCTCGGCCTTACGCTTGTCAGCATCGTTTGGAGACGGCGAACCAACCGCGCACATCCTCATGTGTGTTCTGCCCCGAGGGCGAAGGCAACCATCCATCAGGTCGCTGCCCTAAATATGCTGACCCCGTGTCAGTGCGGTCCAGGCTTCGCGCCTGGGCCTCTGTGATCGGTATCTCCGCAGGAGCCACGAGGAGCCATGCAATGTCTACTGCAACCGCTGCCGGAAGCGGCACAACACCTTGTTGTGCCCGCTACGCGGTTTCCGACACATCCGAGAAATCTGCAGCACAAAAGAAGAAAAAATTGATGTATTTTTGTTCGTTTATTCTCATGTTTGTATGTTTATTTTCATTTCTGCTCCTTTTAATTTCATGACTGTATCTCATACTGCTAGATTTTCTCGTTGCCCCGGGGAGTGTCGTCGAAATGGCGACCTCTCCAGCAAAACCCTCGATAGAGTTGTTTGCCCAGCTTCCCTGCTATAAAGGCAGGGGGCTGGGAATGATATGTTGTGTTTTGTATCCATTCCGTTTGTTCCTTGTCCGAGTAAAAAAGACGTTCTTGTTGTATTCCCAATAAACTAATTTTATTTCAAAGTCTAAACCACCGCCGCACATCATGTATGACTAGCTGGCGGTCCTGATCGCGACGTCAAGCAGTACAAGGCTCAGCTCCCGTCAGTACTCCTGCCGCAATGTTGCTTATGCCATTGAGTCATGTATCTGCCGCCATCTCTCACCCCCCTACTGTGGCGCCGTGCCGCTTTAGACCACAGAGTTCTTGCAAGACACAAAATGTGAGTGCGGCGAGTGGCTGCTGCATGCAATGTGACTTTTGACTTCTAGCCGCGTAGTCGCCTGGGTCGCTGTAAGCTCTCTGACATTCGGTGCGGGCGGCGCGCGCTTGCTAATGGCCAGCAGTGCGGCCCGCGCGCCTAGATTTACGGCCGGGGTCACGTACCGTGCGGCCCGCGCGCCTTGGATCCTCAGCGTACGGCCCGCGCGCATTGTATTCTCACCGTGCCACCCGCGCGCCTCCAATTCCCACACGTATAAGCGTAATGGGTACCCGCGTGAGGTACGACGCTGCGATTAGGCTGCTCCATCACTCATGGAGCTGGCTTATTGTTTCTTGGCATTTCAGTAATCGCAGGAAAATGAGGAGAGCTTTTCTGCTTGTACGAAGGTTATCCCTCAACAGCGTCTCGAATGGGTGCTGAACTTGGATTTTTGAATTCTATGAATTCAAATTCAAATTTTCGAATTTTCTAAATTCGGAATTTTTTTTGGACTGTGGAGTTCAGAATGCTCACGACACGACGAAAGAAGAGAAAGATACTTTATGAAAGACCTATTTTCTAGCAGCTTGCGGACGGAGCGCTTTCGATACCGTGCGGCCCGCGCGCATTCATCGTACGGCCCGCGCGCACGGAGCGTTCGGCCCCCGCGCACGGAGCGTTCGGCCCCCTCGCACTACAAGGCGCCGCACGGGGAGCACGCGCGCGCCGCACGGACCGAATGTCAGAGCTGAACGCATGCGAGCGCACGCGAGCGCTTGCAACATGGCTGCCGAGGTCGGGCACTCTGATGGCTCATGGCGCAAATGCCAATTGTTAGCCCGCAAGGGGCACGCGGGCTTTCAGCTCGGTCGATTCCGCGCAGTCATATATTACGCGTGAAAAGCGCTTTGAGACGAACCGCCGCATACTGTCGATTTTGATAACTGTTTGGTATAGACCAAACTGGTACCACTACGTTATATAAGTGTTTATTGGATAGTAATGGAGCAGCCGTTGACTATCACAATGAAGATGCAGAACAGCCGCTGACGATAGTAGTGATAATCGAACCCAACATCAGAAGTGAGTATTCAGGTCTTTTTATGTCACTGTTTTGGGCGTGGATAACCTGAATGCCATCTTTTTCAGACAACTGTATCATACAGAAACAAGGATTGCTTACATGAAACTAGGCGCCGCCATGTAGACTATCGAGCACATTGAAGAGGTGACCTGGCGGCTTAAGTGGTCAGGTGAACAGTAGCGTCTGTCTACTACAAGCCTTTCATTGTGGAATATAACATTCATGATTAATCTATAATGAAAGAGTTTGTAGAATATTTAGATAATCTACGACAATGGCTGGCGCGACGGAAGGCGCAGAAGAAAAGAACACAAATCATAGTAATCACATGAAGTGATCCTTAATCTTGAAATTACCATACGATTTGAATAAGTAATACATATCATATGTTTTGCGCCGTCTTCTTATGCCTGTGAAAATCTTTTGAGCCTGTGATAAGCAGGTCAGCTATGCATCCAGATTTGTTAAAGCGTATATCCAGAATTAGTAGCTTTGTCGTAGTTCTCTCCGATGACTGGCATACTGCCAAGAAGTGAAGATACTGTTCCTTTTTAAGCCTGCCTCAATAAAAGGAACTTGTCTGCGTTGCTGAGCTGCGAGTTGCTACGGATCAGCGAGTTGAATATTGTCCAGAATGTTGGTTACTCCTAAAAGCTGCCATCGAACGCGGGGACTTCAAGCTGCA